TCGTCCTCCTCCAAGGAGGAGGAGGCAGCGGCGCCGGAGTAAGTAGCTCCGGGCTCCCGCAGCAGATCCTGGGCGGGGTCCCCCTCTCCCGGAGCGGGAGGGTCTCGGAGCCCGGCCCGCCCTATGTTCCCTCCCTCTCGCGCTTCTGCCCGGGTTCAGGCTCGCTGCACGCTCCCTGTGTCCCCTTGCTGCCAGTCCTGCTCAGTGGCACTTGCTCGGGTCCTTATCCTCCGCCTATGTCTGGATGACCGGGATGGGGGCGGGGAGCAGCGATGCTTCTGCTCAGCTCCAGTAACTCCTCAGCCCCTTTGCCTCAGCGGTCTCCTTTCCGAGGTGCTGCTCCTGTTTCTGCTCTGACAGTGGGTTTGTTTCCTCTGCTCAGGCCACGCTCCAGCTCCTCATGTCTGTGACCTCCAGAGTCTCAAGGAGCAGAAGCACACACAAGCAGACCCAGCAAAGACTCCCTTGGAGTTGCTTGTTCTCACATGTGCCAGCCTAGGACTAGAAGGGCCCAGGGCTGCCCCCTTTAGCCTGGCTGTGTCTGGGCACATTGCACCTTGCAACCAAAGGTCATTCTGGACATGAGTGACAGTTGCCAGAAGGATTGTCTGAGTCCTGCTGGCCTTGCTGCAAATCCCTCAGGGCAGGCTTAACCCAAAGCCCCTTCCTGCTGCCTCGGCTCATTTCCCACTTACATAAGGTCCTAGTCTGTGTTTTAGGCGCCAGAATCACTTGGGGTTTGGTGTGGCTGCACCAGCCGCGTGGCCTTAGGTGACTAGTTGAACTATACCTGAGGCCAGGACTCTAGGAGTGTGCTGGGAGGATTGTGGGGGCAGTAGGGACAGCTGTGGAGTGGATTTGGTGCAGGGGCAAAGGGAAGGATAGCTTTTCTTTAGCAACAGGAGCTATTTCCTTGCATCTTCAGTAGTTACATGTGAGAAAAAATGCTCTCCCATAGCCTGCTCCAAGGGGAAGATTTTCCTTATTAGCCCTGGTCCCAGGAATGTGCCCTATACAAGTACTTTCTTGTCTACTCCTGCCCAGACATGCAAAGGTGGAGTCTTCACAGGTGCCTCTCTGTAAGCTGTTGTACTAGGTGTAGAAAAGCATATTACTAGAATACATTTTTAAGTGTTTATTGCAGGTATTTATTGCAGCATCAACCCATCTTTGGCCACAGTCTGCCACCAAACCCATGGCTCCCCTTCACCTGATCAAAGGTGACAAAAGATTAAGAAGCGGGGATGGAAGGAGGTGCAGGCTGTAGGGTCAAAACATCTGGACGAGAGCACTGAGCAACTTCCAGAGGTGTCTGTGCCACTTCTGCACCAAGTGTGGGAGAACTGCTGCAAAGTCATTCCTGGTCAGTGTGGGCCAAGCCCCAGGAATTAGACACTGTAGCCAGTTTAGTGTGGCTTTCAGAGGTTCTGGGAGCACATTTAGGCTTTCTCTCTTAGGCATGCTATTGGTACAAGTTCAGGTATGTATGAAACTGGCTACACAGCCTCAGTTCTGGGCTGTTGGCCGGGGTTGGGGAGGGCAGAGAACTGCATTGAAGCTGCTAAATTCTTTCATGTTGGTTGAATGGAACGAGGAGGTTTGCTATCTATTTGGTCTGGATTTGAAGTGACAATTTGAGTTGAGAAGCCTCATTCCCATCCCATTTTGCTGAACTTGAGGGACTTAAAGGAACTGAAGGTAAATGTTTCCAGTACCTATTAGGTGAGGCTCCTGAGCAAATGGTAGTGCTTGTGCTAGAGCACTAATACGAACTTGAAATATACTCTTCCCCCAACCTAATGAATTACAGCCTGGTACAGCAGCCTAGAGAACTCCAGCCAGCATCTGCTGCAACCTTGTCAGCTTAAACTCTTGGTTCTAGCCTTGTATGCTGGAGCTGTTAGTAAGAGAAAAAAACAGGGAACATTTCTTTAGCAAAATTCTGGAGAAGCTTCAGGAAAGAACTCTGCTTGCTCATCCTCTGTGTACATCTGTCTCTTTCTTTTGATTGACCCATGTAGATTTAGAGAAGTTCCCCCCTGCTTTGGTTTTTGCTTTTGTCATTCTCCTCATGCTTCCATTTCTCTGAGCAGTAAGTAATAAAAACTCTGAGCTTTGCTTGCTTAAAGCAACAGGTTTGTTGTCTGTGGTCTCAAGGTTTTAAGCAGTGGATTCTAATAGGGATGTGTGAAATTTCGTCAAGTGTTTCGTTTTGATGTGTTTTGAGCTCAAAACAGCAAAATCAAAATGAAACAAAAAGCTTTGAAATGAAATGAGGGGACTTGAAACATTTTGAAACTTTCAAAACATTTTGAGTTTTGAAGCAGCCTGGTGGTGGGAGGCAGGGGAGAGCCAGGGATGTGCTCTGAGTGGCTCTGCAGCACCATAGAGCTCAGACCGATGGAGAGTGCAGTCCTGGCTTTCCCTCCCTGCGTTTCGCCGCTGGGCTGAGTTCTGTAGGGCTGGCGGAGCCGGTCAGAGCACAGCCCTGGCTCTCCCTGCCTCTTGCCACCAGGTTGCGCTCCAAGTGGCTCCGCAGCCCCATGGAGCTCAGCTGGGCGATGGGATGCGGAGCGCAGTCCTGGCTCTGCCCACCTTCTGCCATGGGGCTGAGCTCCAATGGGGCCACGGAGCCCCATGGAACTCAGCCTGGCAGCGGGAGGTGGAGTGCAGCCCTGGCTCTCCCCACCTCCTGCAGCCGGGCTGCGCTTCGAGTGGCTCTGCAGCCGGGCTGCGCTTTGAGTGGCTCTGCAGCCCCATGGAGCTCAGCCCAGTGGTGGGAGCTGGAGCGCAGCCCTGGCTCTCCCCACATCCTGGTTGTGCTCCAAGCAGCTCCAGAGCCCCATGGAGCTTAGCCCAATGACGGGAGGTGGGAGAGTTTTATGAGGTTTAGAAAACTTCCAATTAGGGTACCCTTGGGTTCCTCTATGCATATGCATTTTGTGCAAATACGCTTATATGCTATGACTTTATCTATAAAAGAAACTTGCTTTGTGTGAGAGAAATTCGATTGTATGTGAAGGAGCATGCAACGTGGCTATGCAGTGATGTGAGTGAAGCATTGTGGGAGGGTACGTGAGGCAGGTATGCAACGCCATCATGCACTTGCCTGTCTCGCATCGTCCATTGTTCCATGCAGTACTATGCTACTTGCACTCATATTGTGGTGCATCTATTTGCTGTTATTATTGAATTTGGTGAAATGTCATCTAAGTGACCTTCTAGTGTATCTCCTAACCCCCCTCCTGAGTTAGCCATGAAGCGAAAAAGGAGGCTGTTACATATGCCTTTTAACTGCATGTAATAATGGATTTGCTTTATGCGAGGTTTTTTTGGAATGCATCCCTTGCATAAAGAGAGACCTGAGTGTATTCATCTTTTGCTTTTTTTCCCCCTTGCTAATCTGAAAGTCAAGAGTATTTTTTTTGTGCAGAAACTAAAAGAAAATCCTAAACATTCCTTAAATTCCCCGAGAGCAGAAGTGGGACTCTGACATGCAGCTGAAATGAAGAGTGTGTAGTGTGCACACAAACTGTGTAGAGCTGGATTAAGTTGAATAGATTGGAGCCGTTCTTTTTAACAGACTCACGTTCAAAGTGTGCAGTGCTTTGATCTAGATGCATCATTGCATTCTGGGACCTGCAGCTGCCCCAGGTTCTGGGCTGCATGTCGTTTTGGAATGTACCTATTGTATAGGTTGATGTGTGGTTTTTATTTTTGTTTTTTGTGGTTTTTTGTGGTTAGATTCTGAACCTGCACTGCCTGCTTGAAGGCTGCCACACTTACTTCAGAGTCCAAGGGTTAAACCATATTCCAGTGCACTGATATATAATCCTTAAACTGGGGAGTGGCTCTGTGTTTTCTGGGGGTTGCTTAGGGTGAGAGTGTGCTTCCTGGGACTAGGACTATATATTCTCCTGTCCTTAATCTTGAATGATCTCAGGATGTGAAAGTTGTTAACACCTGTAGCATTGAAACTTCAGGGGTCCTCTCAAGAGTCATGCTGTTTGCTTGACCATTTAAATCAATACAGATCAGATGGAATCCCCAGTTGAATGGTCTGCTCAGTACAAAGGGAAGATGATTTTGAAGGTACCATACATAGCTGAGTACTTTTAAAATAGCCCACAGGTACATCCAACCTGAAGTCTAATATGCAAGCCTAGAATTGAATAGCTTGTTGTGAGGAGGTAGCTGGGATATTTCTGGAGTGTGTAACCCACTGTGTGTGCATGAAGCTTGACTTCTTTTTTGTGTTAATCATCTCTTGCTGTTACAGGGAACACCCATGCATCATGTGGACTGGTGGCTGCAGGCGGATCCCCGTCTTAGTGTTTCATGCAGAAGCTATTCTGACCAATGAGAGCTACCTCCGTCTGATTGGAGGTGGGTCTGATCACCACCCTATGCTTACTCAATGCCTGCTGCTGGGAGCAGTGGGGCATTCTTCAGGCAAAAGGTTTCCTCCTCTCTGACAGCAGAAAGAAGCACTACTGAAAGGGACACTTTGGTATTGTTGGTAGAACTTTTTTTGTGCACTCTAGCATTGGAGCCATGCACCTTGTTTGTGTTGTGGACCACAACTGTTTTTATCTTTAGGAAGAGACCTCCTCTGTTTTGGATCAGAACCAGCAGCCTGTAATCTCTTCATTGGGCTGTGTTCATGTTAAATTGAGGCAGAAATTTTGTAGCCAACAAATTAAAACCAAATATACATCCAATCTAGTTTTCTTGGTTCCCATGAGAAATTATGCTACTGGCCTTAGAAACAATGACAGTAGCAAACCCTGTACTAAACCTTATCTGTGCATCTCCATCACCAAAACTGCAAGCAGGGAAGTAAAGAAAAAAAAAGACACATCTTTTGCAGAACTGGGGTCAAGAAACTGAAGTGTTCTAGCTTCAGGGAGAGCAAAGAAATTGTGATGAAGGGCAAAGTCTTTGTAAATGGCTCTGGAATATAAGATTTAGAACCCCTTGTGTTTCTAATGCCAGGGCTCAATCTGGATGTGCTGATGTGATAAAAACAGTCTGCTTGGCTTCTTTCCACAAGATGCTGACACTTTTGTCTCTCTGCCCTCCTGTAGATAATCTGTGCCTCATTTGCAATGTCCCAGGCTAGAAAGGAATGCTTGTGGCTTTCTTGCCTAGGGAGTGGAGAAGCTAACCTGTGGTGGGTAGCTTTTGTACCTTTTAACTTGAATCATAAATAAATGTCCATACTGATAGAGTCTGAGGGCAACCCCATCATAGGATAAGACTTAACAGCAGAGCTGTAGCCTGTCCCATGAAAATTGGATGTGGATAAGATGTTTGGGATCTGACTGATTTTTTCTGAAGGTTGTTCTTCAGAAATTTGTCAAGTCCTAGATTTTAAAAAATGTAAATCGAGGATACCTAACTCACCTGACCCCATGGGCTGGATCTGGAGTGTGCGCCTGGGCCTGCTCCTCCTGCTGTCAAATCTCTGGTTATGCAGGTAGTCCCACAGGCCAGGTTATCTGACTCTATGGTTCAGATGTGGCCTGCAGGGCTCCTCATAGATCTGGAAATTTGGTGGTAGGACAAGGGTTAGTAGTGTTAATTGCTAATTAACAGTTAACACTGCTGCTATTTACCACACTGAGAAATTTCTAAATCTGAGGAGGGGGCCACGGGCTGGATGACATGGCTTCCTGGGTTAGACCTGGCTCATAGACCCTATCTTGGTCACCCTTGTTCTAAATGTTATGGGGGTGTATGTGGGGAGTGGCGGTGGGTGGGTTTGTGGGGGGGCTGTGGTTTTGTGAAGGGGGAGGTGTGGGGAGGTGTGGGGAGGTGTTTATTGTGGAACGTGTATGTGGGGGCCCCCCCTACAAATTCTCTTCCCCCCCCCCACATTGCAGCAGCAGCAGGTGGAGCCCCCCATTGGTGTGTGGTCCCGGTGAGCCCCAGGACTGCATGTGGCCAGGCTGCTGGCTCTATCACATGGGGCTCACATTCCTGAGCCATACGCTGCTGGGGGAAGCCCTGCATGATGAAGCCAGCAGTGCAGATCATGGGGTTTGGCTGGGATGGCAGGGACAGAGCTGTTCCAGCACCGTAGTATGGAACTCCCTGCTGTTCCCAATGAGCTGTGCGTGGCAGTGAGTGGGTTGCGCCTATGGCTCCATTGTGCAGGGCTGCCCCCAGAGGCATGTGGCTCAGGCGGAGAGCCCAGGGAACTGCATGTGAGCCCCATGTAATGAAGCCAGGCAAACCCTGTGCCCCTGCTGGCCTGGGCTCTGTTCCTGCTGTCCTGCCCTGGGTCCTTGTTCGTCCTGGGGCACCACCATGGGCCCTGCACTCTTGTCCAACTTCCGTTTCACTCTCGCCCCTACCCATCTGCTGCTGCCTCCACCACTTCCCCACCTGTCTGCCGCTGCTGCTGCCCATCCCCTGCCACTTCCCTACCTTCTCCCTTCCCATCCCCTCTCCCCTGCTACTGCCATTTTCCCCCACCCTACCTGTGGGGCTGGGGTTAGGGCCATCCTACAGGTGAGGGTGGAAGCACAGCATGCTTTGCCCCTGCAGGAATGAGCAGGGCTCAGCCCCGTGCAAGCATAGAGGGGCAGCCAAGGACCAGGCCAGATACAGTGAGCTGGATGAAATTGCCTGGCGGGCTGGATGTGGCCCATGAGTTGGATTTTGTCCACACCTGATCTAGATGATGATCAGGGAGGAAGTGTAGCTGTTTAATACCAGAGGTCATTCCACACACATTCCTCCTGGAGCAGGGATTCGCCTGTGCTCTTTCCATTTACTCAAACTATCTGTGATCCAGATGCAGTCACTAACTCCCTGTCTCTTGCCTTCACAGAGCGCTATCGCTTGTCTTACAAAATTGTGCGAACAGATAGCCGCCTGGTGCGCAGCATTCTGACTGCCCATGGATTCCATGAGGTTTGTGCAGCAGATCTTGGGAAGATAGCGAGCCGCTGAGTTTAGGCACCTGCTGGAGAGATTGAAGTTCTGAGCTTCTAACCACTGCAGGGTTACAGCCAAGAAAATAAGTCACGATTCTGGGCCTGCAAATCCTTTAACCTTCTGGCAGTCAAACAGAATACTTTGTTTCAGGTGTCTTACAAGAATGCCCATTATCCCTTTGCGCAGGCAGCCTTTGCAGAGTCATTAACTAGCAATAGGGAAATAGATTTTCTTATTGTACCTCCCTTAGCACAAATAGCTGACAGGGACATTGGCTTGGTTCCTTATAATGCTTAGACCCTCTAGCTACCTATTTTGTTTCACAAGAGCACCCTGCCTGCGGTCAATAACACTTCAGCCAAATATCTGTGAATGTTTTAATTCTCTGAGCTATGTTTTTAAACAAATGGGAACCCATTTCCAAGGATTCTTGGGTCTCCAGAATGCAGTACAGATGGATTTAGACTGCCAAAGTAAACTACTCTACCTACTAGCTAAATTTGAGGGTGAAGTGTGGCAGTTGCTTCATAGTTCCCATTGACCCTGTTCAACAGTGTCAAACTTGATAATGGCATAAGAAATAGGTAGAAGAGAGTTCTGTAAGGTGGTGATTGCTTTAGTCCTTTGACTTGGAAGGTATAGCGCTTAATCCCTTACAGCAGTGATTCTTAAACTTTTTTTTGCAGACCACTTGAAAATTGCTGAGAGTCTTGGCAGACCACTTAATAAATTGTTTTTGTTGTTCTACAAATCAAAGCACACAACTCGTATTTTAATATCAGTAGTCTTACCTTACAAGTACAGACATTCTTGATTGTTCTGCAACCTTTCTGCGGACCACCTGAATGGAACTCACGGACCACAGTTTGAGAACCTCTGCCTTACAGTGATGGGTATGTCTCACCAGTTTCTTGGCTGTCCCATCCTCAGGTGCACACTAGTAGCAGTGATTATAATCTCATGTGGACAGGATCCCACTTGAAGCCCTATCTGCTGCGCACCCTCACAGATATTCAGAAAGTCAATCACTTCCCCAGGTAAGAGCAACAGGTGATGTTTTTCTGAAATCTTCATTAGTGTCTGAAGGGGTCTGGGAAAATGTAGTGTCTGGAAAGAATCTGGGGTAGGCAGCACTTGAAAGTCCCAGAGCATCCCTGAGTTATGCATGGTCTCTGTTACAGATATTTTTATAGGGCAGTAGCAGCCATTTTTGTCCCACAAATTAGCCTGTACCCTCCCCGAGTGCTGCTCTGATTCCTTTCCTCTGTCAGATCTGTTGCTTTGCTTTCTGCTCACTATTGTGTGCTTCCTGCCTGGTCTCATGTTCTATTCCTTCTGCTTCTGCCCTATTTACTGCTGTGCTGCCTATCTCCTCCCTGATCTGCTGCATGCCACACACCAAGGCTGCTTGTGGCACTTGTGCTACAGGTTGCTCACCGCTGTTTTAGAGGGAGGGAGGGCAGCATGTGGGTTTACTGTTTTTTTTCTTAACCCAACCTGGATTTTTAAATTTTATTTATTGAGGCATAAATGAAGAGGTGGTGGGTTCTTTATAACCTTTGCTAGGTTGCCTTTGTTGTTCACTTGATCACATAGCTCACTGTGCTCTGGTCTTCTGGAAGACATATGATAAGATTAGCAGGGAGTACTGCAAATGAGGACTGTGGTGTTATCGGCAAAGCATTAGGGAAATCTTAGCAGGTGGTTGTGTAGGTCAGGATTGAGGTTGCTCTGCCAGAACTGTGACACTGGTAGAAGTTATTGAGGAGTCTTCCATGGAGAAAGAGTTAGTCGCTTGTCTTATTGTGACTTCAGATCATATGAACTAACCCGGAAGGACAGATTATACAAGAATGTCAGTCGTATGCAGCAGACCCATGGGTTCAAGACATTCCACATCTTGCCTCAGACCTTCATCCTGCCAGCAGAGTATCAGGAGTTCTGCAGTAAGTGACTGGCGAGCAGTGCCCTGGCTCCTGAGAAACAGTTAGGGAATAAGTGCATATGAAGAGAATACCCCTTGGTGTGCTAAGCCAGGGGAAAAACACAGCCTTTCTTATAAGAAATAAAATTATAGAGAAGGGAGAAATTGGCAGCCTGTCTTTAAATTTTTCTTTTTTTCTTGACCAGATTCCTACTCAAAAGACAGAGGTCCCTGGATAGTGAAACCTGTGGCCTCTTCCAGGGGACGCGGTGTTTATCTCATCAATAATGTAAGTGCTCAGCAGAAAATCAAACCGACTCCCTCACTTGCATTTGACATTGTCAACCTTGCCCACTGTCACTGGGACAAGGTGTACAGTAAAGTCTCACTGCAGGTGGCACTACAGTGGATTTCACCATTAAGTATATGCTAAGTATTGGCATTCTTCAGCAGCTGTCAGCTTCTCCCATTATACATTGCTCACCTCATTTCCCTGCATGTCACAGTTGTCTTGCAGCACATACTGTTTCAAGTCAGGTGCAAAAGTAACCAACAGATGGTCACTGAGTCAGCCTGGGCAGCTGTGCAGCTGCATCCTGGGCTACCCTAATGGCTGCAAGCTAGCCTGAGGAACAATTCCAGAGAGTTTTATGAGTGGGAATCCTAGATGGCATTTTTGATGTGGAGATCTGTACAAGACAATATTTATTGCCTTGCCTCTGTTTGCCCTGAGTTTGTTCTTTTTTCTGGCAACTTGGCCTTTGACAGGCCCAATTAGTCACATAAACTTTAAGCAAACTGAAATTGTCCATGGCAGGGGAGCCACTTGTTCTGTGTGTTGGACACAGGACTTTGCTGATATATAGTGCAAATGCTGCTATATCTCTCTTGGAGTATAATGGAGCTAATGGTGAGTTTGGTGTTCTGTTTGTGGCAGTTTCCTTTCCCCTCATGAGCTCTGCAGGTACTCAGGTTCTCATAGGTAACAAATGAGTCTGGTTTGGAGCCAGAAGCAGAGAAGGAATTCCAAACTTCAGGGACCAATGGGACAGAAGTTCTTGGCATGCTACAAAATTGGCTGATGAGTCATGTTATTTTCACTATTATACCCCTTCAGCAGTCCCTGTACTAAAGGGGCCAGGCTGCCTCATCTGTTCTGTATCTGGATCCTTTCCCATGCAATAAAGGGGATGGCTAGCCAAGTTCATGAAGTAACTGTTTCCAGAGCTGCACTTTGCTTTCTCTTTGCTTGAAAGAGAGGGAAGTTCAGGCATGTGTTGGGCAGGTGGCCATGACCTAGGGAAAAGGACCCTTCTGGGGCCTATCTCCCTCTTTATGCATCTATTCCAGCAGTATGTCAGCTCCTTTGGCCTTTAATTCCACTTCCCTGAAACGTGATCCCCATGCAGGGAGTGTCTTATTATCTCATCATGGAAAGTGTTTAAAAATCCTCACAAACTGTTTCTCTGATTCTGAATAAAATAGGCTGCCATATTTACATACTACACCAAGAAAGCCAGAAATCTTTCAATGACTGTAGTTAGTTCAGGCTGGTCCTGCTAACACAGCTGGTAACATGGATGCCTACTCAAAGTAGATGATGGACCGGAAGGTGATTTCTTTAGAAACAGGAGAGGGGAAACCATTTTAACAAACAGAAATTGTTTGAACTGGTTAGGTGGAGAAAAAGGGATTTGCAAACAGTAAAGAGTAAAAGTTGTCTGAAGAGGTCCTTCATGTGAACTGTGCGTTCTCACTCCATAGTTAGTGACCTATACCCAGGGTTGACTGGTGCCTCTTGAGTCTGGGGGGGACACAATTTGTGGGCAAGCCTGGGGGTGGGCCAAAAACCCCATATCCACTTCTATACTTCTGTGCTGTGGCTTAGTGCCCCCCACCCTCCAACACCCTGCCCCTCCATGTGGCAAAAAAACTGCCCCACTTTTGGGGGCCAATTTCAAGGGGGCATATGCCCCCCCTACCGGTCACCTGTGCCTATACCTGTGCCACCAGAGAGCTTATCTTCATTGTCCAGGCGCTGTAATCTCAATGTACGTTTGTCTTGGCTGCAGCTTCTTCCTTTGAGTGCTTTTGGTGGCACAGCAACCTGCATTGCTGCTGGAAGCTGAGATGGGGGTGGGGGTTCAGTTCTTCAGGCCTGTTGCCAATCAGGTGATTAAAGCAGAGCTTCACAATCTGGGGGTTGCAACTTCAACTGAAACTGTGGCCTCTAGAAGTGAGATTGAGCCCTGCATAAACCTAATTCCTCAGCCTTCAGCTATGTATGCAGTTAACAGGGGATGGAGGCTTGTTCTGCAGCTGCTCCTCTGTAGTTATTTCCATATCTGCTTTTCACTTGCTGTAAATGAAAGCTAACCAATAGTAGCATACCTCTGTTTCACTTACAGGAAAGTTACCATAGGGTAGCTCTCACTGTTGGGTAAAAGCAAGCACAAATATAATTAATATGGAGCAGCCAAGTTGCAGTAAACTTGTCATCATAGTTTCATAGTTGATAGGGTCGGAAGCGACCTGGGCAGATCATCAAGTCCGACCCCCTGCCATGGGCAGGAAAGAATGCTGGGGTCAAACAACCCCGGCTAGGTGTCTATCTAGCTTACTTTTAAAGACCCCCAGGGTAGGAGCGAGCACCACTTCCTTTGGAAGTTGGTTCCAGATCCTAGCCGCCCTGACTGTGAAGTAGTGCCTCCTGATACGTAGCCTGAATCTACTCTCAGTCAACTTATGACCATTATTCCTTGTTACTCCCAGTAGTGCTCGGGGGAACAGGGACTCTCCCATTGCCTGCTCGTCTCCCTTGGCCAGTTTATAGACGGCCACCAGATTCCCTCTCGGCCTTCTCTTGTGGAGGCTGAACAGGTTCAGGTCTTGTAGCCTCTCCTTGTATGCCTGCCCTACTGCCCCCTGATCATGCAAGTGGCCCTCCTCTGGACCTTCTCAATGCTGGCCACATCCCTCCTGAAGTGCGGCGCCCATAACTGGATGCAGTACTCCATCTGCGGCCTAGAGGGGGAGGATCACCTCCTTGAACCTGCTCGTGTTGCGTCTGTGGATGCATGACAAGGTGTGGTTAGCCTTCCTGACCGCGTCCCCACATTGGCGCCCCATGTTCATCTTGGAATCAATAGCAACTCCAAGATCCTTTTCTGCCTCTGTGCTGATATGAAGAGAGTTCCCCAGCCTGTAGGTATGCTGCTGGTTCTTCTCCCCAGGTGCAGTACCTTGCACTTGTCAGTGTTGAAACCCATCCTGTTCTCATCTGCGCACCCCTGTAACCTGTCTAGATCTAGTTGTAGCCTGTCCCCCTCTTCTAGCGTGCCCACTTCTCCCCACATCTTAGTGTCATCTGTAAATTTGAACAAGGTGCTTTTCACCCCCTCGTCCAAGTTGCTGATGAAGATGTTGAACAGTGCGGGCCCGAGGACCAAGCTCTGGGGAAACCCACTGCCCACATCCCTCGAGGTCGAAAATGACTCATCCACCACCACTCTCTGGGCGCGGCCCTCCAGCCAATTTGTGACCCATCTGACTGTAGACACCACAGTCGCCTAATTTTTTAATGAGAATGGGGTGAGAGACCATGTCAAAGGCCTTCCTAAAGTCCAGAAAGACTACGTCCACCACGACACCTGCGTCCAAGGATTTTGTGACCTGGTCGTAGAAGGCAACCAGGTTGGTCTGACAGGACCTGCCTCTAATGAACCCATGTTGATTGCCCCTAAGCATAATCTCCCCTGCTGGTCCCTCACAGATGTGCTCCTGGATAATTTTCTCAAAGAGCTTTCCCAGGACTGAGGTAAGACTAACAGGCCTATAGTTTCCTGGGTCCTCCTTCCTCCCTTTTTTGAAAATGGGGACCACATTGGCCCTTTTCCAGTCCTCTGGCACTTTGCCAGAGCATCATGAGTACTCGTAAAGCCATGCCAGGGGTCCCACAGTGACCTCTGGCAATTCCCTCAGCACTCTGGGGTGGAGATCATCAGGACCTGCTGATTCAAACACATCTAGTCCCACCAGAAGTTCCCAGAAGTTCCCTGACTAGATCCTCACTGACCCTGGACCTGGCTGTGCCTTCCCTGGGTCCGTCTGGAATCCTGCTGTGGGGGATGTTCCGGTCCCTACTCAGAAAAATGGAGGCAAAAAATTTGTTAAAGAGGTTAGCTTTGTTGTCTGGTGCGACCACCAGATTTCCAAGCGTGTCCTACAGAGGCCCCATATTACCCGGTACCTTCTTTTTACCCCCTGCGTATTTAAAAAAAGGGCTTGTTGTTATCTTTGATCCGGGTTGCTAGTCCCAGTTCTGTCTCCACCTTAGCCTTCCTAGCAGCCCCCCTACAATCTCGAGCAATGCAGGTATCATCCTTCGATTGGGTGTATGCCTCCTTTTTCTCTTTGAGACGTTCCTGGATGCTTTTGGTGAGCCATGGGGGCTTTTGAGCACTCTTGTCCCCTTTGATCTGCATTGGGATTGTCACCCTTTGGATTTGAAAGATCGTCTCTTTAAGGAACGACCACTCTTTTTCCAACTCCCCTCCCCTCCGGGACCTCAGTGCCTCCCCGACTAGTCTCCTTACCTCATTGAAATCTGCCCTCTTGAAGTCCAGGGCTGCTGCCTTGCTGCAGCCCTTTGACACCCTGCGTTGGATGGTGCATTCCAGTAGGCGATGATCGCTATTGCTCAGGTGGTCGAGAACCTGCAGTCCCCTCACCAAGTTGTCACCTGTGGCCAGGACCAGATCCAACAAAGCATTTCCCCTGGTGGGACTATGTACCTCCTGGGTTAGATGGAGGTCCTGTAACTTGGCTAGGAACCTATGTGATTGGTCAGACCTGACTGACTGCTCTTCCCAACAGATGTCTGGATAGTTTAGGTCACCCATGATGACCACGTCCCTTGACTTAACTGCCTCCGCGAGCTGACCTGAGGATTCCCAGTCCAGCTCTTCCCCCTGGTTGGGTGGTCTGTAGTAGACCCCCACCGTTAAGTCCCTCGGACCCCCTTGTATTCTGACCCAGAGCACTTCAGTTTTCCCTTCCTCTGACCCAGTGCTGTTTGCTGAGGACATGTATTGCTCTTTGACGTAGAGTGCCACACCCCCACCTTTCCTCCCTGTTCTATCCCTCCTGTACAGCCTATAGCCCTTGATGTTTACCACCCAGTCATGTGTTGGATCCCACCAAGTTTCAGTGAGCCCCACTATGTCTGGGTTTGTGTTAGCTAGCAGGAGGGCAAGTTCCTCCTGCTTGTTTCCCATACTATGAGCATTAGTGTGGAGGCATTTAAGGCCTTCTGAGGGTGTATGCACCACCCCCCTAATCCCAGGACTATCTGGACCCCTGTCTCTTACCTGGGTACTTCTTGTGCTCGTCACCTGTCTTGGCTGGGCTGTTCTTGTGGGTGTCTCTTGGTTTGTCCATTAATTGCAGGCACACAAATGGCAATAATGGGGTGTATGCGTGGTTCCACACAATTATCCCCATTAAGTCTGAGTTAATTCACCTAAGCACTATGCAGCTGGCTAGTTTCTTCCAAGTCTAGCTGCCAGGGCACAGAATACTTTTGGAAGGGAAAGGCTGGAAGAAAGTGGTTATTTTGGTACCAATGCTTCTTGGTAAAGTCAACCCTGTAGACAAGGTTTCCTTACTGTTGGATTCTCTTATCTTGTTCTGTAGCCGAGCCAGATTTCCCTGGAAGAAAATATCCTGGTCTCCCGTTACATCAATAACCCTTTGCTCATAGATGGTGAGTGTTCTTAGGAATTGACAGCTTTCCTTTCTGTGGTTCTTAGCTACTTATGGCTTATGTGAATTACTTTTTTGGGAGTACCCCCCTCCTCTTAAGTGTTCCAGCACCCACAAAATAGGGGTTGGGGAATCCCTTAACCTGGCAGCTTCCTGTTGGGGAAGCAACAGTTTCTGCTGATTTGGGATATCTGGAAGACTATTTTAAACCACAGTTGTTCTTAGTCTGCTGCTTCCCCTCAGCTAAATGTATTGTGTGGAGACTTTTGGGAAGTATTTATAGTGACTTATTCTGTCAATTATCTTTCAGATTTCAAATTTGATGTGCGTCTGTATGTTCTGGTGACATCCTATGATCCACTTGTCATCTACCTCTATGAGGAAGGACTGGCCAGGTAGGAGGCACACCTTCTCCTTCAGGACACCTGAACCTAAAAACTTAATGCTCAAAAGACGTCTTTAGTTTGCCTATGACCTGTTTCCTCGAGAGGCCCAAAGAAAGGGGAGGGAGGGAGGTGCTATATTAGGAGCTCTGTAGTTTCAGCCATGGCTGTTTAGTGATGTTGACTGGTCATGCTGAAATTCCATTTGAGTAATAATGAAAAAGGAAGTGATTTAATTTAGGTGGCTTGGTTGTGGAAAAGAGGAAGACCTTGGTAATAAAGTACTCTTGTGAGCGAATGTCTGTACAAATTCCATTCTTCATCTGTCTGGCAGGATGTAGCAGGCAGCTGAGCCTCTGGCCCCGCAGCTGCCACAGTGTATTTTCCGAATAATGGATTTTTTTTCCTGTGGGTACTGTCCTCTGTGGCTGTGCCTGTTCCCTTGGTGCCCTTGTCCCTCCTCAGCTAAAGGCATAAAAGGTGGAGTTGGGTTCAGTCACTTCTGTTCCTTCTTACTACTATAGCTGTGAGAGAGAACTCTTACAGTGTCTGCTTCTCTTGTGTACAGTTCACTTTAGACTTTAGTATTAAGTATAAAGAGAAGCTTGAGAGAGTCCAGAGGAGAGCTACATGCATGATTGAGGTCAAGAGAACAGGCCTTATGAGGAGAGGATGAGAGTCATGGGACTCTTCTGCCTGGAGAGGCAAAGGGTCAGGGGTGACTTGGTGACAGCCTGCAAGGGAAGACAAGGTCTAATAGTCAAAAACTGCTGGAAGACCATTTTAGACTGGACATAAGGAAAAACTTCTTTACTGTCTGAGTCTCCAGAGTCTGGTATAAACTCCCCCCAGAAGTAGTGCAAGCACCTACTCTGGATACCTTTTAAGAAACGCTTGGATGCTTATCTAGCTGGGGTTATCTGACCCCAGCTGACTTCCTGCCCCTTGGGCAGGGGGCTGGACCAGATGATCTTACAAGGTCCCTCCCTGCCCTAATGTCTATGAAATTAGTGCAAGTATACAGGGTTTGTTATATATAAAACAAATTCTTATTTTGGTTTTAAGGTAGAAATAAAACTTAATTGACCTAGGATCTCCCTAAGCAGGAGTATTAGGACCGTGACAAAGGCCAAATCACCAGAATTAAACTTGTCCATCATGGGACTTTGCTGTACTGATTATTTATGGACACTATTGGTATCAGATGTATTGGGGAAAGGGTACATTCTGGCAAGTTCCATATGTCATTCCTTCTTTAAGCGTACCCAGAAGACTGAGGGTGGTGAGGTTGAAGCTTTTTATGTTGTAGAAGTCAGTGCAGGCCGCCTTTGATTCTGGGAGAAATTCAGTGACCCTTCGTCCTTGTCATTCCGTACCCTGGTGAAGTGTGCCACTGGTCCATACTCTTTGGTTGCTTCTTAGAATGCATCCTGTTTGGTACTATGTCAGTGTTAACATCTGGTGAAAGTAGGAGTCAGCATTATTCCAGAGATCATGCCAGACACGGATGGCTTTTATTGGCACCTAAGATGCTTTCGAGTTGTCATGATTCATCTTGGGATCTGTTAGCGAAGGGACACAAGTAAAAGGCAACTCTCTCTAGTATCTTGGTACCAAAATCAAAAGCAGCTCAGGTGGTATGGTCTAAGAGCAAGCCTTGTCTTACTTTCAGTACTGCATATTATCATTGATTGGTTAACAAGGTACTTTGTGTCATTGTCTCTGCACTTATCGTTGATGATGACAGTCCCCATTATATTGGTGCAGACTAACTCTTCTTTACACTTGGGCATAGGTATAGACCTTTTTCACATTGAAGCAATATACTGAGTTGAGCAGACTGCCATTGGCTCTGTTACTTGTTGCCATGTGAGAGAGGGAGGATATGGGCAAACAGTAGAGCTATTGCAAGTGAGAAGCGGGGCAGGTACTTGCCATGGAGTAGCTGAGGCTTGGTGGTTTTGTCTGCCCACTCTGGCTCTGCTAGAAGTGAAAGCTAAACTGGGGTAGGCTAGTCCTAAATGAAACTGGGTTCACTTGCTCTAGCTTAGCTTTCACTTATTGCAAAGCTGGAGTGTGCATACAAGCAGCTACCACGCCTCAACTGCCCCATGGCAAGTACCTGCCTTGCCATGCACCCCTTTTAACTTGCTGCAGTTCAGTTGTCCTTACAATAAAGCAGATTTGGCCAGATACAGGCCCCCAAGTAATTTGCATGAACCCACGAACCTGAGGTGATGGCAGTAATTTGGCAGCAGGATATTTCAACAGTATGGTGGGGGAGAAGCAGCAGTCAGGTCAGAAGCTGCAGCTTGCCTTTAAACTGAGCTCTGTTAATCTGGCCTGCTGCTCCTAAAAGGTTATTGATCCCTGCTGTAAAAAGTCATTGCATCAGGTGGTTTTGTAGAGCCTTTATGTCTGGTCAGGAAAACATTCTTTGCAAGCACCCCCTTCCTTAGAGAGTGCTTGCTTCCTTCTTATCTCCAAACATTATTTGGGGATTCTTCCCCTACCCATTCTGTTTCCCTGTTGTGTGGCTCCACTGGCTGCAACTTGCAGGTGGCCCACAGCACTGACCTCCATTCCCTTCTGGCTGCTCCAGCAACAGTGAGCAGAGGCTGTAGTGAGGAAGAGAAGTTCTTCACTTGGACAGTAGCAGCTGGCTGGAGTGGTGGGGAGAGCTGATAGCTGTATGATTAGCAGAATGCAGATTGGATTGAATGGCTGGGGAATTGGCATACCCTCAGTAAAAGGTGGGCTGGATCCAATCCGTTTATGGGCCATAGGTTGTTGACCCCTGAATGAAGGGAGTTATGATGACATCAAGCTGTTATAGGGGGTATCCATCCTGGTATCTCCTGATGTGCCCTCATGCGTCACAAAGTTGATGATACCATCAGTGGCCAAACTGTATTTCCTTTGGTGGTTCATCCTAATACATAAGCCAGCATTTTTTATTGTACCCAGAGCTGAAGAGGAAAATTCAGTTTTCTTGGATGTCTCTGCAGTAACTGTGGGTAAATAACAGTTAAGAGGAGGAGTCTGGAGAAGAATGACCTTCTTCTGAGCAAAAGTGTAAAACCTCTGTTCAATAGGAGTGTACCAATAGAGATTTTGGGGGCCAATACCGATAGCCCATTTTTTAAGGAGGCATATCGGCTGATACCAATCCGATTTCTGATACAGCTGCCTGCAGCTGGTAAGTCTGTTGTGGTGGACGGGGAGGGAGGAGCGAAGGGGGTGGAGGGGTGCAGATCAATGCCCCCTTTGGTGAGGGAGGGAGTGGGGCAGGTGCTGCCTGGGCAGGGTGCGGGAAGGAACTGTCTCGTCCAGGAGGTGTGGGGAAGGGGCATCTCCTGCTACTGTGCACAGAGGGCACAGGGGAGGTGTGTGCTCCCAGATCTGCACTGGGGGGAGGGCAGGGGGGCTGCAGCTGTGGGGTGGGGCCAGGGCTGTGCCGTGCTCTTCCCGGTGGGAGGCTTGTCCGGGAGGGGCTCAGGGCAGGTGGCAGCAGCAGCACTGGGAAGGGGAGGCAAAGGTTGAACTCACAGTTGAATGGTTGAACCCACCCCCCAGCCTCCCTCTGTGTTGCTACTGCCTACCCAGAACCCAGCCTGGACCAGCCTCCTTCTGGGAAGAGCACAGTACAGCATCAGCTCCAGCCCGCAGCTGGAGCCTCCCCCCATGCAGATCCATGGGGCACACCTTGATCCCATCCTGGCTGGGTAGCCCCTGCCCCACTCCCTCCCTCACTGCAGGGGGTGTTGATCTGCCACTTCCCCCTTCCCATCCACCACAACAGACTAACCAGCTGCACGCAGCTCTCCAAGTTGCTGGGCTGTGCCCCTTGCTGCCTGCGTGCTGTGCTGTGGCTGCGCACTCGTATGGGCATTTATTGGCCAAATTATCGGCCACATCAGGCCGATTTCCGATTCAATTTTCTTTTTATGGGTGCTGATCCAATATCGGACCAATGTATAGGTGCACGTCTACTGTTCAATATCCTTCTCTTTCACCTCCCTCCCTGATAAAGCTGCAAGTCCACCTCAGTTATCAATAATGCATGAATTTCAGGACCTGAAATTTCCCTTGAAGGTTGCACAAAAGAAGCAGCACAAATTCTTGCATATACTCTGTGCTGCATCTCCAAGGATGTTGGGTATGCCAGTCAGTGATTGATTTGCTGTGTTAGAGAATCCATCTGGCAGACATCAGCTTGTCTGTTGCCTCTAAGAATATAAGAGAGAAGATGCTGGGTGCCTTCCAAGGGATCTGAATATTTTTTTTTATCAGTTTTCAATGCCTGGTTGTGAAGTACAGGAGAAGACAAAGCAGTAGGGCGCTTAGAAGTCCACCTCTGTGAGAGACCCCATAAAAAGCTTTGACCCATTTGTCCATAAGATACATTTATCCATAAACCTGCAAATGAAGGTGAGCAAATTGCCAAGTACTAATGTTAAAGGCAATGACTTTTTTTGAGTTGAGACAAACTTTCCACTTTGATGGATACATTTCCAAAGGAGCACCAGTAGCAAGTGAAATACCTGATGGCGTAGGGCCCACTAACAACCACATCATCTTAATAGGCTGTGTTGGACATTTCTGATGGGGGTGATGCAAGCAATGGAAACTGTAGTAGTCATGACAAGGTCACTTATAGTTTCAGTCCTTGGGCGTTTTGGACCTAGGCCACCATGAAAACCTCCCTTTTGAAGGCAGTGGTATTGAGTTCCCATCTGAAGGGTACCTGTGTGGCTACTCCTTGAGACAGACTCACTTCTTAAAGCACCCAAGACAGCTTCAATAGTTGAGGTTGAGGCAGCACTGATAACTGTGTTATTGTGGAAGCTGACCATAATTGTCTGAGCCTCTAAGGGAGAGACAGATTTCACTGAAGGTGACTTTGCCTTTTGAAGGTCCACAAACCTGCGGTCTTTGAGTAGGCAGCAGGTTTCACACAGTCAAACCTGCTGCCTGCCTTGCTTACTGGCATGGAATTTCTTTAGGAGCAT